AGATTGACACCAGCTGAAGAGCTGTCCTAATAAATCTGAGTCTATTTATGGGGGCTGAAACCACAGTCATGTCTCCCTAAGGGCAGTTTTTTCACTTGAATACAAATGGCCTTGGCTGCATGAATGAATTAAATATTGAGGGTTCCGTTTTTCAGACTTTACTGTGGCTTCACCCACATCAGCAGACCTGATCCATACCTTTCCTTTGGAGGAATAATCCTTCTGTCCTGGAATGCTGACCCTCAGACTGTTTTACCAGAACCAGATGATTTTTAAGCTGTTGGATGTGTTATCAGCCTTAGATCTATGTCAGCATGGATGGAGAGGTGCAAGGCACAGAACTGAGAATGCTTAGTCAGAAGTGGAAAGTAGGGTTGAATGACACTTCTCTTCACCTGGCACTTCTTGAGGGACTGATGGATTCTAGAAGTGGATTTACCACATTATTACATCTCCAGACACAAAGTACCAGCTGGTAACTACTGCATGATGGTACCAGGGATACAAGGTTGAATGGGGAAAAAGAGCTCTTGGCTGTCTGTCCGCATAGTGATTGCTGTCCATCTTCTCTGGACAAACTGTTTAAAAAGCAAAAAAGTGAACACTACTGCTGTATTACAGCTTCTTGCACTCTTTGGTGTCAAGTTGCATCTGCAAAGGTTGTGGAAACGAGATACTCACCTGTGTTGAAGTGGGGCTGGCTGCTTGCTCAGATGCTATCAGGAGTCAGCTAAAACAGATGTTTCTCAGGCTCCTTTGATATTTCAAAGGAGCAGGCTTTGTCTCTAACAGGATGTAACTATCCTTCCTACGGCCTAAGTAATAATATCCACAATAATAGAGAGGGTAATTTGACTCCCACATTTTGCTTCCCATTCCATATTGTCATCTTCAAGTAGGTGATGTTCCCAGCCTTGGCCAGCAGAGTCCATCCAGCGGGTAAATCTGGATCTGTGTGGGTGAGGCACCCAAGGGTGCCCTCATAGAAGACTAACACAGCTACCTACTTGACTTGTTCAAAAGCCAGATTCATGACTCAGCCTTCACCTTTTATGAGTTAGGAAATTCCAAGGTGCTCTTTTTTTCTCTTGGACTTGCAGGCAGACTCTGATCTCACTTATTATAGGGCAGATCCACTGCAGGCAAGGAGCTGTTTGTGCCACACATTTAGAATAAACTGTTTTCCTTGATGAACTTTCCTTCTGCTCTTAGCAGATCCAATGTAGTCTAATTACTTGCAGCCCTCAGTAAAAGTGTCACACACAGCAAACAGCATAAAACAAATCAATCATTTTATTTAGTCTAAAAAAACTGAAATGTAGTAAAACTGAGAAATGCATTTATGTGGCCAAGAAGGACGTATTAAAGAGGGAGTGATATTTCAGTGCTGGGCTTACAGCATCAGAGCTGTTTTGCATTGGGTCATGCTACCTGTTTCCATTCTCTGTGAATGGCATGACTGCAGAGTGATAGATAGTTGCATTCACAGACAGATATCCATGGAAGGTGAAAGGTAAAGAGATAAAAGGCATTAAAATTATAATAATGCTTCAAGATCCAGAAATCCATTAGACACTGCAACTGAAAAGCAATGAGGCTTCTTTGTTTTATTGAAGAGTAAGTGGTGTTTTATTGAACACTTGAAAATTCATTCTCTGGAAGAAGGTACTGAATTCTCATCAGCCAACAAAACACTGGCAGAAAGATGAAACTAAGAAACTCAGACTGAAAATGTGGGACAGACTTTTAATGGTAAATGAAGTGGATTTTCTGTCATTTGAAAATCTTAAACTCAGTTTTAATTTTTGAACGTGACAGAGAAGTGTTTCCTGAGCCATTTATTGGAGTTGGTGCAAAACTCTCCAAGATTAAAGAAGAGTGAGAAACAACTGCAGAAATCTCTTCTAGCATTGTCAAACTCAGAAAGAGCTGAATACTGAGAAATAGAAGTAAAGATGGAGATTGTTGCCAGTCAAACAAAAGCCAAAGTCTTCCTGGCATTTTAGACTATCAATTGTCTGTACATCCAGTCACACCTGTGAGTGCACTGATTTGCAATCTGCATACTGAAATCAGCAGAGAGGCTGCTGACCTTGCTGGATATCTCAGCACCCTGCTCTGGAGCAACAGGATCACTCCTTAACCCCTGTCTCACCCGATCTAATGCAGTGCTATTTTATGGTCACCACATGACAGACTCTCATGACCAACATGAAATGAGCTGTGAGTTTGCAAGCAGATGGATGTCCCTAACTCAAAGACTCCATCCTTGCTGACATACTTGACCACAGCATTAGCTAAGTAATTCACTGAGAGGAATAGGCAAGGGAAATGCTCAAACACAAAAACATTCACAAAAAGTGAGTGTCGCTCATAGCCTACCCACTTTGCATCTGAGCTATCACACTGGCTGATCTAACTACTTTCATCTGCTTTTGTAAGAAAACATCTCATCTAGGTCAGAGGTATTGCTTTTCAAATAGTCCTTGTGCTAAAAGAAAGTCGGGAGGGTGAGGGGGTTGATCTCAAAGTCAGGTACCAGGTGGTAGCCATGTGCGGATGAAACTCACACGTTACGTGGGATGAAGATAGCAGAATTCCTTCTAGATTTCTCAGCAGAGGAGAATGCACATGGCTGAGTATTGCTGGAACACAAAGGAGGATTGTAGGTGGCAAAGAAAGTGTGGGTGAGAGATAAATACAGGGACTGCTCTGAAAGTAATGCCTCCTATTTTATTATGTTGGCCCATGACAGTATCACAGAATCACAGAATCACAGAATTGTAGGGGTTGGAAGGGACCTCCAGAGATCATCGAGTCCAACCCCCCTGCCAAAGCAGGTTCCCTACACCAGGTAGCACAGGTAGGCATCCAGGCAGGTCTTGAACATCTCCAGAGAAGGAGACTCCACCACCTCCCTGGGCAGCCTGTTCCAGTGCTCCATCACCCTCACTGTAAAGAAGTTCTTGTGCACATTTGTGCGGAACTTCCTATGCTCCAGTTTCTGGCCGTTTCCCCTTGTCCTGTCTCCACTCACCACTGAAAAGAGTCTGGCCTCGCCATTCTGCCCCCCACACCTTAGATATTTATAGACCTGGATCAGGTCCCCTCTCAGTCTCCTTTTCTCAAGGCTGAACAGACCCAGTTCACTCAGCCTTTCCTCACAGGGGAGATGCTCCAGGCCCTTCACCATCTTCGTGGCCCTCCGCTGGACTCTTTCCAAGAGATCCCTGTCTTTTTTGTACTGGGGAGCCCAGAACTGGACGCAGTACTCCAGATGAGGTCTTACCAGGGCAGAGTAGAGGGGGAGGATCACCTCCCTCGACCTGCTGGCCACGCTCTTTTTAATGCACCCCAGTAAGCCATTGGCCTTTTTGGCCACAAGGGCACACTGCTGGCTCATGGCCAACCTGTCATCCACCAGGACACCCAGGTCCCTTTCCGCAGAGCTCCCCTCCAGCAGGTCATCCCCCAACCTGTACTGGTGCATGCAATTATTCCTCCCCAGATGCAAGACTCTACACTTGCTTTTGTTAAACCTCATCCGGTTTTTTTCTGCCCAGCTCTCCAGCCTATCCAGGTCTTGCTGAATGGCAGCACAGCCTTCAGGCGTGTCAGCCAATACTCCCAAATTCTCCCAGTAGAGAAGAATGTTGATGGTACAGCAGTACAAGATTAACTTTGCACCAATATTCCATTACATTTTGTTGCTGTGTGGCAGATTGTAGCAGGGGGGGCAATCTGACAAAATTGCATCTGACATGGAAGCGTGTGTGAAACAAAGGTGTGTCATTTAATTTCTTCATGTGGGAAAAGTGGCACACATTGACTTTCATTGACACTTGCTGAATGTTTATGGAGACTAAGCAGTGGATGTGAGCACAGTGAGGCACTGAGTGGTGCATTTCAGTAATGCAACAGTGACATGAAGGACAAGATACATTCTAGATGGCCATGCACAGCTGTCACCCCTGCTGGCATGCAGACTTTTGTTCATTTCTAGTTAAAATATATAGCTAATGGTGGTGACTATTTTGAAAAATAGTGCTTTGTAACTGAGAATTTGCTCTATGAAATAGTGTTATTGTGCTTTTTGGGTGACAATGGCCCTGCCTGGAACACTCCAATGGCAAGGGGGAACAGAAGTTAGGGCAGTTTCATTTTTCATTGGGCATTAGAACATTCACCCATCCATCACTACCCATCCTGCCACACCAAGCAGGAGGGTTTGCCTACTTTTAAATTTATCTTGATACCTCTTTTACTCCAGATCCTGACTTTTTGGGGTTTAAGGTATGTAAATGTCTTTAATGTGACTTTGTTCCTTACATTGTTCAACTTCAGATGAAGCAAATAAGACTTTAAATTCTTTCAAATGCAGATTCAGAAGGCTGAGGGAAAATACCCTGCCTAGGTATGAATAAAAAATTTCAGAGATGAAAATCCTTCTTGCCAGACCAGGCTGTGCATTAAAAGTAATCAGAGTGAAAAAGTTATCAGAGACTTTAGCTCTGCTTGTAATGGAGTTTGCATTCCAGTCTACCTGGGCAGTATTCCTTATGCCCACTGTTGGCATAGGTTAGAAATAGGATGCCCAGGAGATGACACGTGCTCCAGTACACTCCACAGAAATCACAGGGGGGATACAAAGCATGGCAGTTGTCCTTCCTTTCTGATTCGGGTTTCTCTGTGAAGAGGGGTGCCCCACGGGGTGCATTCACAGGTCTGACCCCTTCTGCACGACAAGGGGAGCCACCTTTAATTAGACTGTATACATCACACATCTGGGGATATTTGCGTGCATAAAAGCCTCATCATTCATAACCAGTGAAGTCAGACTAAATGTTTCTTGCCTAGCTGAATGCCATGAGCAGTGTTATGGACAGGCACTGAGCCTCTCAGAGCAGAGTTAAGTCACAGCGTTGGACCAATGTGCTGCAGCTTTCCCTTTAAGAGCCTTTGGCTAACAGCGATGCACTGAAATGCAGGAGGTGGGACAACACCACACACAAAAATGAAGAAGTGAAGGCAGGAAAAGTTTCTCCAGAGGAAAAATGCAGGGCTTGTCCTTCACCCTGACGTCAGATCTGTCTTTAATAAAATCCCCAAAGAGCCAAGAGAAAAAGGCAGAGTTCCTAGGCTAGGTTACCAGTTAAGGATTGCTGTGTGTTCCCGAAAGTGGTGTTTTTGTTCAAAACGGCTCTAAATCTGGGTTCAATCAATGTATTTAATCCCGGCTTCCAGGGATGAGGTGGCTTTTGCCCTGGATTCTAGCAACAAGCAGCATTTTGCAGGTGAGTTTGGAAACTGCAGGAGTATCCTCTGCAAACACTCTTGTGCTCAGTGCATGGTAGGGTGGTGGGAACGAGTGCAGTGTGTGTGGGGAAGTGGGAACTGGTGAGTGGTGGGGAGGTGAGAGCGGAAGTGAGAAGGGAAAGGTGAGCTGTGGGGAAAAGGAAAGGTGAAGGGGAAAGGAAAGGAAAGGAAAGGAAAGGAAAGGAAAGGAAAGGAAAGG